GTATGAGGGGGGAAAGTGGATATTCAATGAAATAGAGGACTTTAAAGCATTCTTAACAAAAAGACCAGAGTTTAATAGAAAATTTGACTTTTAAATACAAGACTCAAGAGAAGCATAAAAAGGTAAACAGGAAAGGAAAATGACAGGGGACTTAATAAGGTTAAACTGTTTGCATTCCTACATGAAAGATGATACTTGTAACTCATAAGAACTTTCTCATTATTAGGGCAGTTAGAAGGAGTACATATAGATAGATGGCACAGGTACTAAATGTGAAGGGATGATATCTAAAGAATAAAAATAAAGCTAAAACTAAATTAAGGGGTTAGAGAGGAACTGTACTGGGAAAAAGGGAAACAGAAAGGTAGAATAGGGTAAATTATCTCACATAAAAGAAGCAAGAAAAAGCTTTTACAGTGAAGGGGAAGAGTGGGGAGGAGAGGGAGAATTAGTGAACCTTACTTTCATCAGAATTGGTTCCAAGAGAGAATGACATAAACGTTCAATTGGGTGTAGAAATCTATGTAACCTTAAAGGAAAGTATAAGGGCAAAGGAATAAGAGGAAGAAGGGGGGTGGGGCTGATAGAAGGGAGAGCACATTGGGGGAGGGGGTAGTCAGAAGCAAAACACTTTTGAGGAGGGACAGGGTGAAAGGAGAGAAAGGATGGAATAAAGGGAAGGGGTAGAATGTAGAGAAATATACTTAGCAACAATAACTGTGAAAAAAATTTGAAGCAAGTTTCTCTGACATATAGAGAATTGAGTTAAATTTATAAAAATAAGAGACACTCCTCAAATTGATAAATGATCAAAATATATGAACAGTTTTCAGGTGAAGTAATCAAAGCTATCTATAGCCACATGAAAAAATGCTCTATCTCACTACTGATTGGAGAAATGTAAATTAAAACAATTCTGAGGTACTATCTCATATCTATTAAGGCTAATATGACAGAAAAGGAAAATGACAAATGTTGGAGGGGATGTGAGGAAAATGAGACATTAATGCACTGTTGGTGGAGTTGTTAATGGATTCAACCATTCTGTAGAGAAATTTGGAACTGAGCCCAAAGGGCTATAAAACCATGCATACCCTTTGACCTAACAATAGTATTTATTACTAGGGCTGTATTCCAAAAGAAATTTTAAAAAAAGGAAAAGGACTTATATGTACAAAAATATTTATAGTAGTCCTTTTCTGGTGGCAAAGAATTGGAAATGGAGGGAATGCCCGCCAAATGGGGAATGATTAAACAAATGTGGTATGTGATTGTGATGGAATAGTATTGTGCTATAAGAAATGAGCAAGATGCTCTCAGAAAAACCTAAAAAGACTGATGCAAAGTGAAACGTACTGTGTACAAAGTAACAGCATTATTGTAAGATGATGAAAAAAAAATATTGTAAGATGATTAGCTATGAATGACTTAGCTATTTTCAATGATATAATGATCCAAGACAACTCTGAAGGCCTTATAATGAAAAATGCTCTCCATCTCCAGAGAAAAAAACCGATGGTGTCAAAGCATACTTTTTTTCCTTTATGTGTTTTTTTTTGGTCTATGTTTTCTTTCACAACATGGCTAACATGGAAATGATTTGCATGACAGCCCATGTATAACATATATCAAATTGCTTGCCTTCTCAATGGTGGGGAGGGGACATGGGTAGGGTGGAAGGGAGAGAATTTAGAACTCAAAATTTTAAAAATGAATGTTAAAAATTTTTTTAACATGTAATTAGGGAAAAATAAAACACTAAATACATTTTTAAGAAAAGAAAGTAGTAATCATAAAAATGTTTTGATGTGAGTTAAAAATAGAAAGTCAAATCAGTGGAATGGATGATATAAATAGGAATCAGAAATAGGAAATAACAGTTTTCTATAAGTTCAAGAACTTAATAAACTCCTTATAAAGAGCTCTCCATTTGACAAGTATTGCTAGGAGGGGAAATGAAAATATTTTAGGAGAACTTAGGATTATACTAATAGCTTCTAGTATGTACCACAATAAGCTCAAAAGAGGTACACGATTTCAACATAAAAGGTCATAGTATCAGAATAAAATTAGAAGACAATGAGATTAAGACCTTTCTCATTAGGTACAGCTATAACTTGATATGAATTCTTAAGCAAACAAGCAACAAAAGAAATCAAAAAAAGGTAAAACAAATCATTCCAAATAAACAGAATTGAAAATTTTACATGTACAAAATCAATGTAACTAGAATAAGAAGAGAATGCATCAACTTAGAAATAATCTTGGCATAAAATATCTTTGAAGAGGTTCTGATATCCAAGGACATAAGGAACTAAAACCAATAAAGAAGACTAAACCATCCCCTAATTGATAAATGGTCCAAGGATATGAATAAATGGTTCTCAGAATAATTAGAAACATTTAAGAACTATGTGAAAGATTGCCTCCAAATAACTAATAACAAAAGAAATGCAAAATAAAGCAACTCTGAGCGTTTACCTCACTTGTAGCAAGCTGTCAAAATTGACAAAAGATGAAAATAGTCAATGGCTGGAAGGGCTGTTAAGTGTATGTTCCACTAACATACACTGAAAAATAATTTGGATTATGTTTTTAAAAATGACTAGAGTTTCCATACCCTTTTACTCAGAGATTCTACTGCCCCTTGCTATCTCCAAGGAGGTCAAAAACAGAAATAATGGTTACATGAATATCAAAATATGCATTGCAACATTTTTTGTGGTAGCAAAGAATCAAAACCAAAGTAGTGGATTGGACATAAGATAAACAAATTGCAATATATGACTATAACACAATGTTTCCATTTAGTAGTTCACAAACTCCATGAAGGGAATGACACTAAAATTCTTTAATAGTGTAATTTCAGATTATTATGAGTAGTATATTAAATTACTCTTGGGGTTCATGACACATTATTTGGTTGTTGTTGAAAGGAGTTCACAAAAAAAAACAAAAACTTTTGGGAAACATTGCTATAATAGAATATTACTATGTCATAAGAAATGACAAATATGAAAAATTCTGAAAAGCATTGAGAGCCTTGGATGAATTGACACACTGTTAAACAGGAAGAACCAAGAAAATAATATACATAATGACTGCGCAACATAAATAAAATATTTTTAAGAGAAACTAAATGCTATAGAATTATAAAGATTAATTTTGGCCTTAGAAAGCAATTTCAGTTGAGTAGAGGGCTCAGAGGCCAAGGTTGAGAAGTGAATAAGAGGAGGAAAAAGTGAAGGTAATGATTGTAGACAGTCTTCTAAGAACTTGAGTATGAAATGGAAGAGATATATAAAGCTTTGAGATCAAATGAGGGTGTTTTTTTTTTTTAAAGGATATGGTAGACGGGCATATTCATAGGCAGGAAAGAAGGAACTGGTAGATAGGAAGAGACTAAAGGTTAGAGAGAGAAGGGAGAGAATTAAGAGGGAATCTGTTAAACAGTTAACTCTTCATCAGAGACTGGCGTAAAGGAGAGAAGACATGGGAAATAATGTCAAAGTAGCTTGAGATTTAGAAAAGGAGAAATCATAGCAAATAGTCCTCATAAAGTATAAAGCATGATCCTCTGCTAGGAGAGGTGAGGAAGGCTTTAGGGAAAAAAGAGATTTGGAACAGCTTCTGTATGAAGTGGGAGAGAAAATCAATTAGGTTCAACAAAGGAGTTACCATACAAGGGCTGTAGAACTGGTTTCTCTAGAATCTTCTTAGCTATTTACAATCACATGGTGGATAGCTGACCAGGCTTTCACACAGCAGGGTCCTCTGGTAGAAGCAGCTTTTTATGTTAAATAAGGACCCTCAATATAATGGGCATATAGGACACCTGCCTTCTTTCTATTACTATTGTTTACCTCCAAGGGTTAGCTATTGTCCTGGTTACAGAGACATTAATGGGCAACTAATTGCCAAACAACTGAAAATCATCTTAGTCTATACTGTAAACATAGTATATGCTCTAGGAAGGCAATCTCAAACTCGTAGCCCACAGACTACTTTGTGGTGCTCCCCAAGTCAGGTTCAGCTGAATATGTAACTGGATTAATTAGTGAGAAAAAAAATTCAATTCATGTATTAAATTAAATTCAATTCAAAAACATGTATTAAGCACCTACTCCATACCAGGCACTATGATAACAAATGGAGATACAAGTAAAAAAAAGAAAGGCAATCTCTGCCCTCAAGGAGCTTATAATCTGATGGGATAAGACAATACACAAAAGAAAGATGAAAGCAAAGGGATGGATGGAACAGGGGAGGGGTACTTGTGGAGTAGAAACCAAGCAGAGGCACTGATGGAAAACAAAGCTACCTTATTATTCAGATATCAGTAAGTAGATTGCTGATCAACTGAAACACAAAATTTGAGTGCTACATAACTGCTTTAGGAAATGAAGTTCACTTTGGATTCTTCTTTTAATGGCAATAACCACAGAGGATTTTACCTATACTATCTGACAGTGGTGTGATGCATCAGTGCGATTAATTCTTCCTTCAATGCAGACAGCAATCCTTCTGTGCTTTGGTATCTAGATAGTCTTCATAAGTTGCTGTAACTGAAAACATTTATCACCTATTGACCAACATTTTAGGGATGAGTCTTTATATACTTGAGCTGGTCTTCCAAAGACATATATGGAGTCTATTATTAGTCCTTTTACCAGAAGGCTTTCCAGTTTGGCAGGACTTGCCACAGCTTGTAATCAGCTGCCATGAACTTCAAGAACACGGGATCAACTCCATGCCATGATAATGGTATCAAAGAAGGATTTTAGCTAAGCCAATACCCTTAGGAACATTAAAAGCAAAAGGAAAACTTGAATGAGTCTGCTTATAACTTGGCTATGAAGAAAAAAATATTAGAGGACCATGGGAATGACATTTGGGTTTTGAGCGAGGATTTTAGGATTGGATAATAAAGTTTGATTAGATAATATAACTGGATCCTAGCATCTGCCCAACATTTCCATTATTATATCTGAATGCCTCACCTGCCTTAGAAAAATATAAATTTGAAGTCCGAGAAACAAAGATAATCTCTTCAGAATGGAAACTATGGTAGCTTGAAATTATGACATCATCGAAAAAATTTCCCACTATCTCAAAACTGTTAGCTCCATCATATGAAATCCAGATCTAGAGAGAAAAGATAACAACAAATGAAGAAATGTTATTTTCTGTATTGAGGGATTTTCATTACAAAGGTATTACAAAATTCAAATCAATTATACAAATAATTATCTATTATGTAAAAAACTATTAGGTGCAGAGCAGGTCATGGTATGCACACCAGCAGAAATTCCTTACCAAGAGCTCTCTGCACTGATGAAAATGGATGTCTTATACAAATAAGAAAGACACTGAGGATATACACACAAAAATGACAGTTCTGCCTATAGATAGCTTACCAGGGAATAACAACACATACTCAGAGAAATAAATACAAGTTAATTTGAAAAGGAAGTGAGAGCATCAACAAATGGAAAACTCAGAGAAAGCATCATGGAAGAGATGGCACCTGAGCTGAGATTTAAAGGAAGACAAGGATTCTGAGAGGCACAGAAGAGAAAGGAGTGCATTGCAGGTGTAGAGGAAGATAGCCTATGCAGATGAACTAAATAGTTGTGAAGAAAGTGCTGGGCAAAACTCTAAATTTTTCTACATGATTGAGCTATTATTACTTAGGCTGATTTTCCAATGAAATTAATCAGATGGCATTAAACCCCCATATTTTGTTTTCATCAAATACTTGAGCACGTATCCTATGCTACATTTTCATTCACTTATAGGATTTTCAAGAGAAGTAACCATATTACATCCACACAGCATCTGGCTGTTTAATAAATTTTGCTGACATAGGGAAATATTTATTCATTAGTGAATTTTAACTACAGAAATGTAATTCTGATTCTGTGAGTCAGAGGGGAAATAGGATGGACATTTTATGCATAAAATTTTCAAGGTAATGTCACTGGTTAGAAATACATGTTAATGACGGGCTTAATCACAGGTTTGGGCCATAGTACATTTACTTTTTTAAACTTGAAGTGTAGCAGAGTCAAGATGGTGAAATAAAGAGTAACAACTGCCAAACTAACCCCCAAAACACCTTTCCTACAAAATAACTATTTTGTTGTTGTTGTTTTTCAGTCATGTCTGACTCTTAATGACCCCAAGGACCATAGGACCAAGCCTTTCTATCCTCCACTACATCCCCAAATCTGTCCAAGCTCATGTCTATTGCTTCCATGACTATCCAACTCATCTTGTGCCATCCCCTTGTTCTTTTACCTTCAATCTTTCTCAAAAAAAGGTGATTGTTGTTGTTTTGTTTTGCTTTGTTTTACAAATCATGTCTTCTCATTATGTGACTAAAATATTAAAGCTTCATCTTGAGTATCTGCGCTTATAATGAATAGTCTGAATTAATTTCTTTAAGTTGGCTGTTGTCTTTCATGCTTGAAGAAGACCAAAATGACATCGCTATGTCCAGGTCAAAGTACGGTGTGTCTGATTATGGTTGATCAGACCAGTACATGCTCCAATGGCTCTACCAAAGGTTGGGTACAAATAGTCCGTATGAACATTTGGAGTGAAGATGTCTAAATTTACTCATCTTACCTTTCTATTGAGCTAGTACAATTCTGCTTTGCTCATAAAGCACAAAGCCTACTTTGATGTGGGCACACTGTGCTGGGCAGTCCTGAGCCAGTGTCTCCCATGTCTCATAATCAATTAGAAAGTTCTTCAGAGAGGGTGGAGCCAAGATGATGAAGTAAAAGCAATGACTTGCTTGGGCTTTCCCCCAAATCCCTCCAAATACCTGTAAAAATGACTCTAAACAATTTCGACAGCAGCAGAACCCACAAAAAGACAGAGTGAAACAAATGTCCAGCCCAAGACAACCTGGATGGTTGATTAGAAAGGTCTATCATGCTGGGCTGGGAGAGGAACACAGTTCAGCATGGGATGGGTAAGCAAAGACCAGGCCTCAGAAAACCTGGAGCAGACCTCAGGGGACTGAATCAAGGGGAGCTGTGGCAGTTTTCAGATGTCTCAACTCACAAACACCAAAGACAACTTAGAAAGTTAGTAGGAAAGGTTGGTCGGACAAGGGTGAGAGAGAAGTGTGGTCTGGCCCCAGTCCTGGCACAGCCCCAAGGTGATGGCTGCTCTTGGCCCACAGTTAGAGGGGGAATCAAGTGGCTGATCAGAGGGATCTCTTTGCTGGTGCTGAGGCAGGATTCTCTTGCTTTGCCCATGCTTGGATCTGAGTTGCAGTCTTAGGTGGCAGTCCTGGAGCAAGGAGGAGTGCTGGCATGGGAGAGCCTCTGGCAGCAATGGAAAGGGAATCTTCCTCACAGGCCCAAGGCAGAAAAGAATGCTTGTGGTCACTCATAGACCACAGCCCAGGACAGGAAACGAGTAAATATCTCACTCTTAATTGTATCACCTTGGAAGAACTGAAAATTTATAGCTCCCTAGAAGTATCTCTGAAAATAGCTTCACAAAACCCCCGAAACTTGGGACACTACATTCTCCACACTGGAAGCAGAGCTCTACCTTAACAAAGAGTTTAAAACTCAAGTAATTGGCTGGGAACATGAGCAAACTGTGAAAAAAAAAAAGTCAGACCATAGAATCTTACTTTGGTGACAAAGAAGATCAAAACATACAGTCAGAAGAGGACAACAAAGTCAAAGCTCCTACATCCAAAGCCTCCAAGAAAAATATGAATCAGTTCAAGGCCTTGGAAGAGCTCAAAAGGGATTTTGAGAAGCAAGCAAGAGAAGTAGAGGGAAAACCAAGAAGAGAAATGAGAGTGATGCAAGAAAATCATGAAAAACAAGTCAACAGCTTGCTAAAAGAGACCAAAAAAAAAAAGAAAAACTAATGAAGAAAATAATACCTTAAAAAATTGCCTATCCCAAATGGCAAAAGAGGTCCAAAAAGCCAATGAAGAGTAGAATGCCTTAAAAAGCAGAATTGGCCAAATGGAAAAGGAAGTCCAAAAGCTCACTGAAGAAAATAATTCCTTAAAAATTAGAATGAAGCAATTGGAAGCTAGTGACTTTATGAGAAATCAAGACATTGTAAAACAAATCCAAAAGAATGAAAAAATAGAAAACAATGTGAAATATCTAATTGGAAAAACAACTGACCTGGAAAATAGATCCGGGAAAGAGAATTTAAAAATTATTGGACTACCTGAAAGCCATGACCAAAAAAAGAGACTAGACATCATCTTTAAAGAAATTATCAAGGAAAACTGCCCTGATATATTAGAACCAGAGGGCAAAATAGAGATTGAAAGAATCCATTAATCACCTCCTGAAAGAGTTCCCCAAAGGAAAACTCCTAGGAATATTATAGCCAAATTCCACAGTTCCTAGATCAAGAACATATTGCAAGCAGCCAGAAAGAAACAATTCAAGCATTGTAGAAACACAATCAGGATAACACAAGATTTAGCAGCTTCTACATTAAGGGACAGAGGGCTTGGAATATAATATTCCAGAGGTCAAAGCAGATAAGATTACAACCAAGAATCACCTACCCAACAAAACTGAGTATAATTCTTCAGAAGAAAAAAATGGATATTCAGTGAAAGAGAGGACTTTCAAGCACTCTTGATAAAAATACCAGAGCTGAATAGAAAATTTGGCTTTCAAATACAAGACTAAAGAGAAGCATGAAAATGCAAACAGGAAAGAGAAATCATAAGGGACTTATTAAAGTTGAACTGTTTACATTCCTACATGGAAAGATGATATTTGTAACTCATGAGACCTTTGTCAGTATTAGGGTAGTTGGTGTTTTGTTTTGGTTTTTGGTTTTTGTTTTAGGCAGTTGGGGTTGAGTGAGTTGCCCAGGGTCACACAGCTAGTAGGTGTCAGGTGTTTGGTCTGAGGCCAGATTTAGACTCGGGACCTCCTGACTCTGGAGCTGGTGTTCTGTCCACTGCACCACCTAGCTGCCCCAGGGTAGTTGGAAGGGGAAAAAAAAATTGATAGATAGATAGATAGATAGATAGATAGATAGATAGATAGATAGATAGATGGCACAGGGTGATTTGAAAATGCAGGGCTGATATCTAAAAAATAAAATTAAGAAGTGAGAGAGGATTACACTGAGAGAAGGAGAAAGGGAGAGGTAGAATGGGGTAAATTATCTCACATAAAACAGACAAGAAAAAGCTTGTACAGTGGAGGAGAAGTGGGGGGAAGATGAGAGGGAATGAGTGAATCTTATTCTCATTGGAACTGGCATATGAGGGAATAATGTACTCACTCAATTGGGTATCGAAATCTATCTTACCTATAGGAAAATAGAGAATAAGGGGATAAGAGAGGGAGAGATGATAGAAGGGAGGGCAGGTTGGGGGAGTGGGTAATCAGAAGCAAACACTTTTGAGGAGAGACAGGGTCATAGAAGAGAATAGAATAAATAGTGGATGGGATAGGACAAAGGGAAATATAGTTTTTCATAATGTTACTGTTTTGAAGGTGTTTTGCATGACTACACATGTATATCCTGTATCAAGTTGCTTGCCTTCTCAATGAGAGTGGGTGGGACGAAGGAAGGGAGAGAATGTGGAACTCAGTTTTAAAAATAAATGTTAAAAATTGTTTTTACATGCAACTGGAAAATAAGATACACAGGCAATGGGGTATAGAAATCTATCCTACCCTACAGAAAAATAGAAGGGGAAAGGGATGAGAGAAGGGAGGGCAGATTAGGTGAAGAGGCATTCATAATGCACAGCATCTTGGGGTGGGGGGAGAATTGAGATGGGGAGAAAATTTGGGACTCAAAATCTTGTGGAAGTGAATGTTGAAAACTAAAAATAAATAATCTAAAAGCAAAAAAATAGTTCTTCAGAGATATGTTGACAATGTCTTTTAATTTATTTAAATGCTGACTAATTTGATCCCCTTGCTGTCCAAAGGACTCACAAAAGTTTCCAGTACTACAATTCAAAAGCGTCAATTCTGCAGCATTTAGCTTTCCTTATAGTCCAACTCTCACAGTGATATATTGCTACTAGAAAAACCATAGCTTTGACTATATGAACCTTTGTCAGCAAGATAATGTCTCTGCTTTTTAGTATGCTGTCCAAATTTTTCATAGCTTTC